TAGAAGGTTGAAGAGGCTCGATGACCGAGTTGGTGCTATCGAGGCCACACTGACTGGCTTCGAGGCCACACTGACTGGCTTCGGGGTTGCCCTGAAAGGTATCCAGAGATACCTTAAGAAAATGTCGAAGGTACGCATTTTATATGTATATAACATTAGGTATGCTTAGTTATTAATTATGATTAGTTGGGTCCGAGATAACGCTCATTGGTCCGTACTTTTCGTGCAGGGTAAATTCCTTGATCCGACCAAATATTTTGGACGTGGGGGTGGCCCCGATGATGATGATCCATCGGATCAAAGGCCTGATGAGGCCCCAACACGAGGTCCGAAGAGTATGGACGAGGACCGGAGGCTAGAAGCGGTCCCTAAGACTGACGAGTATCAGACCATGGACGATAATCCGAAGAGTATGGACGAGGATCCGAAGAATATGGACGAGGATCCGATGTTTATGGTTGAAGACCAGGGTACGATAACGGAGCGGGACAATGCATCAGATGCTTACCCCGATCGTCCTGTCGGTTTGTTTCAGGTAAGTCCTATTTCTATAACGCTAGTATACGTTTGTGCTTCCATATACCAATATGATTAATATTGGTTGTATATTAGGATGCCACTGTTGGAATGCAAGAGTCGGGCGTTGCATCAGATACGCGACCCGTCAGCCGACGCGTTAGGCGTCCCTATAAGGACTGGGCACCGGACGCAGTCATTAAGGTAAACTGTCATTACATATACATATTAGCTGTCAGCTGTCATTACACGAACTCACGTGTGTATTGTATTTTAAGTTGAACCTTACCTTGACCAGGACGAATATGACCTTCAACAGGCCCCAACTGGGCGTGGGATACGCAAGAGGCATTACTCTTGGAAGCTGAAGGATATATACACACCAACCGGTCAGCGTGGGATCACCGTGGATAGATACGACCCAGTATGTCCCATTCCACCGCAGTTGGACGATAAGTTCCAGAGATGGATGGATGACCCGAAGACGGATGGGAGATTGCGGTCCACTGCAACTGGTTTCCAAAAGAAGRAATGGTATCGCGATCTATTGGACCCTAGTGTTGAATTGAAGGACGAAGTAAGTACATGTTACTATATTCGTAGTACTATATTCGTCAATATGTTTGATTACATCAATGTGGATTGGTTAAATGTAACAGGTACTTGATGGTCTCGTCCTGTTTACAGCGAAAAAGTTGGAKAAGTGTCTCCATCTATGTYGCAAGAAGTTTGCGATAGGCGACGTACTTCTTTCGGTAATTACTTTTTACTTCTTCCGGTTCGAACTAATAAATGYTGTTTTGAACAATTCTTTAACTAATGAATTACTTTTTAACTGCTATACAGACTCTGCTGAATCGGACAGACGGTCCATATGCGGCCATGAAGCCGRGTGTATTGTCYACTAGGATCAACTACCCYTGGYGCGAGGAGAAYACAATCTGGCGATATGTCCACGGTAGGCAGTCGGACCACAACGTGCCCTGGAGTGATGCAGACATCGTGTACACCCCCATGAACGTAGGCGGGAACCACTGGGTGATGCTCGGGATCGACCTTGTACAGGGCGACATAACCGTATGGGATTCACTCCAAACGGCCACTCCACTGGATGAACTTGAGAAGGAGTTGAAGCCCATGTGTACAATCCTACCTACGCTGCTGCATCATGGCGGGATATTTTCAGTTCGACCCGACTTGCCAGTGGTGCCGTGGAGGGTACGTCGGGTTCGCGTACCACAGCAGAGTAGCGTGACTGATTGCGGGATTTTCTATGTCCGGTATTTCGAGTACGATGCCACTGGGTCAAATATGGACACTTTAACCCAAGATAATATTGTATATTTTAGGCGTCAGTACGCTGTACAGATGTGGGCGCGTCGTCCCATTTTTTTAATATTATGCATTTTCGATATTGTTTCTATGTCATGGTTCATTATTCT